TTTTTTGGCAACAAATCAAAACAATTACAATCAGCAATAAAGAACAACAGGAATAAATAAATATATGAATAGCCCATACACCCCATTGTATATAAAAGTGTAGAAGACAGAGTTTATATTGGCCTACCTCTGGAAGTATGTATTAGTCTACCACAATGTATTTTTTTATATTAACTTTGGGGGAAAGAAAGGAGTTTTTCCCATGATGAGTTAAAGTGCTTTTATTTTGCAGTAATTTTAAGGGCCAAAGATGTATGATTTCTCCTGTTTAATTTTGAAATACTCTCAAAACTTTAATTAAAAAATACTAAAAGCTTCCCTCCAGTCACTCTCTCCATCAAGGGTTACTGGTTCCAGTTTGTATTGAGCAACAGACGGTCTTTAACTCCATTAAAATCCACTTCAGAGAGGGGGTCGAGGCAGGACGGGGGTGGTGTGTGGTTACCAGATACATATCCACTCAGTGCTGCTTGATTAGCTTGCAAAAAACAAATCCCCAGATGCCTCGGTCCAAGCATGCAAAATATTCTGGAAACTTGGTCATGAAATATTCTGGAAACATCATCACCGAATGAAGAATCTGATGATGATCTGTCGCTGTGATTTATCACCGTATTAATGATTCCAATAACTCAAGGCATCAATTATTGTGGCACGTACAACTGAACAATGTGGACTGACTGGAACTTCTAACCCTTCGGCAAAAAAATCTCCATAATAAATTTGTATGTCACTAATACACGCAGGGCAAGAGATGAGCGACAGTATTTAATCCTGACACTTTATGATTCATTTGTATCTCCTATATTGTGCTGCTGCAATATAATAACCTATAAAAACACCTATTTTATTCCTATTTTATGTATAAATGCTTATGTAGTTGACATTTTAAACAAATAATGGCTCCACAGATTATATAATTCTCACTATCTTCCACAAATACATCACTAAATTGACTAATAATTAAATATTAAACCTGTGTTTGAGCGTCTCTAATATTCAAACAGCCTCCAGCAGAGTGAGTTTTTGTTTTATTACATTTACTAGTATTTCCCTCATAGTGTGAGGCTGAACTGGAGTAGTCCTGTGATTAAGATCTGTCGTCCGAGGTATCACTGTGCCCACACTGTATCACACCGCCACTGTTATGTAATTGTGGACCAAATCAAAGCAAACCCAGACTGAGTTCCCTTGGACAAGACTTCTCATGTGGGAGTCTGAGTACATCTATTTGGGGAAGCTTTTTTTATTGTGGAAAAGAGCTTGGGATTCCCTTTTCTAATCAGGAGCGGATAGAGAGAAATATTCACCTTAAGGGGTGGCAGAAATAATGCTGATTTAATCACAAAACAATCACAATATTTGCTTGGAAAAGCCCCCAAATTAAGATATTTTAACTCATAAACATTCATTTTATTGTGGCACATTAGTAAAGTATTAAATATAAATATCAAACATGGTTTTATTTCTAAATATTCAGACATTTTCATTCATTTTTAAGGATCAGTGTGGAGGATTTAGTGGCATCTAGTGGTGTAGCTGCAGTTTGCAACTAACTGAACACCACTCGCGTCTGTATTTGACGACCTGGGAACAAAACTGCACATTACACATTAATTTCAATCATTTTAATTTTACACCTGTAATTTAATGATCTGTTATGGCCACACTTTCGACTAAGTGATGAAAAAAGATTTGGCAATAAAACAAAAGGTTTAA